CGGTGCGCGTCTCTCCGGGGGCACAAATGTTGATTCCATTGAAACTTCGGCGACCCTTCGCTAAGGGTATTGCGGCCCAAGGGGTTCTGCTGGGGCCGTCTAGGGCCGGGGTTAGTGGACCTCATTTACTTCCGGCCCAGACCATAGTAAGAGGGGACGGTGAACCCTTCATCGCGGTCCTCAATGTGGGCTCGCAGACGGTGGTGGTCCCACAGGGAACCGTGCTTGCTCACGCAACGCCGGTGCCATGTGAGGAAACCGTCGCAAATCACGTCAGCGTTGTCCCTGCGCCGCGACCGCATTCGGACAGCGATGAAGGGTGGCTCGAGGCGCTTTGTGCGGGATCGACGGACCTGTCAGATTCAGAGCGTCAACAACTTAAAACACTACTGCGGGAATTTTCCGACGTTTTTAGTCGGAATAAATACGATTTGGGTTGTACTCACCTGCTGCGTCACCATATTGACACGTTTCGGTTGAGTCCCGCCGAAAAGGACCATGTCAAATCGGCTATTGATGACATGTTGGCCGCCGACATCATTTCTCCTTCCACCAGCCCTTGGGGAGCGCCGATCGTCCTGGTTAAAAAGCAGGACGGATCGTTGCGGTTTTGCGTTGATTTTCGGCGCCTTAACAAAATTTCGGTTGCCGACGCATACCCGCTCCCTCGGATGGATGAATCGCTGGACGCCTTGGCGGGAGCGCGATTCTTTTCCACACTCGATTTACTTTCGGGATTCTGGCAGCTTCCTCTGGACGATGATTCAAAGCCTAAAACTGCTTTCCGTACACCGCACGGCCTTTTCCAATTCAACCGGTTGCCGATGGGCTTACACTCAGCGCCGGCAACTTTCCAGCGTTTGATGGAATTGGTTTTGGCTGGATTGCAATGGGAGTCGTGCCTCATTTATTTGGATGACGTTATCGTCTTTGGTAAAACTTTTGACGAACATCTCCAGAGGTTGCGGGCGGTTTTCCTAAAGATGCGGGCTGCTAATTTGAAATTCAAACCCCAAAAATGCCATTTGTTGCGCGATTCGGTGCGTTATTTGGGGCACATCGTGGGACGCTCAGGTATTGCTACCGATCCCGCCAAAACGCAGTGTGTCAGCTCCTGGCCGACTCCCACCTCGGTGGGAGAGGTCAGGAGTTTCATTGGGTTCGCGTCGTATTACCGACGGTTCGTCGCTGATTTTGCGACAATTGCCAAACCCCTGCACGCTTTAACATCTAAAGGGGTTCGGTTCCACTGGGGTCAAGAGGAGGAGGCTGCTTTCTGCTCCCTTCGGGACGCCCTGGTAAAAGCCCCTCCCTTGGTTTACCCCGATTTTTCTAAGCCCTTTTTGCTCGACACCGATGCGAGCAACACGGGTATTGGGGGTGTGCTTTCCCAGGTGGTTGATGGCGTGGAACGGGTGGTCGCGTACGGTAGTCGGGTGTTGTCTCCTGCGGAGCAAAGATATTGTGTCACCCGTAGGGAACTGTTGGCAATTGTCTATTTCATCCAACAGTATCGCCCATATCTGTACGGTCGGCATTTCACCGTCCGCACAGATCATGCGGCACTACAGTATGCCCTGCGAGTTCAACAACCATCGGGACAGTTGTCTCGATGGTTGGAGGTTCTCCAGGACTTTGATTTTGAAACCACCTACCGTAAGGGCGTTCGCCATACGAATGCGGACGCTCTGTCGCGCATGCCAACCACCTCGGAATGTGCATGCCTCCTGGGGTCGGGACGTTGCAGGCCTTCAGGGGACGCATCGGTTCCGGTCTTGGCAGCCACCGACGACGACGAAACATTAATTACTAATTCGATCGAACAACAGGGAAGAGATTCCCTGTTGGGGTTGCCCGTCACTGAATGGGGGCGCCTCCAGATGGAGGATACCTCCCTCCTCGGGTGGCGTCGTCGCGTCGGGGGTGCTGAGCGTGTGAAGGGTGATTCGGATGCATGGGAAATGGTGCAAGGTCTGCTGATGCATTGGGACGGGAAATCCCAGCGACATCGGCTGGTGGTCCCTTCTGGGTTGCGAGGCAAGGTGGTGTGGGCCGCGCATGAGCGCCTATTACACCTGGGGACCCAAAAGACTCTTGCACTGCTACAACTTGATTTTTTTTGGCCTGGCATGACGAGGGATGTTGGGGATCTATTGGGATCATGCCCTCGGTGTGCGCAACGGAAACCGCCGGCGCGGGAGTCTAACCCGCCCTTGCAATCGATCAAAGTGTCCAGAATAAATGAGCTTGTCGCGCTGGACATTTTGGGCCCATTTCCCGCCACCCCCAGGGGCAATAGGTATTTGTTGACTGGTGTCGAGTATTTTACACGCTGGCCTATGGCCTGGCCCCTTGCCAACCAGTCGGCAGCAGCCATCGTGGAGGCCTTTGTTCAGGGATACGTCCTGGACAAAGGTGCTCCGGAGCGGCTGCTGACCGACCAGGGCAGAAATTTTTCCGGTAAATTACTCAAACAAGTCTGTGACCTCCTAGGCACGAAGAAAATTCGTACCTCCCCGTATCACCCGCAAACTGACGGGATGGTCGAGCGCCTGCATCGCACCATTACGTCAATGATGTCACAGCAGGTCTCGGACTCACAGACTGACTGGGACCTGCATATTCAAGGGGTCTTGGCGGCATACCGGATGGCACCCCATGCAGCTACGGGATTTTCCCCCTTTTACCTCATGTACGGTCGCGAACCCGACCCGCCTGTTCGCGCCCAGCTGCAGATCCCCGAACCGCAAGGGAAAACTAAATTGGCTGACCACGTCAAATTTAATCTGGCCAAATTAACAGAGGCGCGGGATGCTGCAATGCTAAACTCGGACCTCCGTCAAAAGGCGAATGAGCGCCTCAGGCTGGGTCGGGCGCACATGATACAGTGGAAGCCGGGGGACAAGGCATGGCTGCACTGTCCCCAAGTGCCACTGGCTACCTCCTCTAAGCTCGTGCGGCCGTGGCGGGGCCCTGTGGAGGTGGTCGAAGTTTTGCGACCACAGTGCGTGCGCATTAAATGGGGGAAGCGGCGATGGTTCGTGCACCCCTCTAGGTTAAAACCCTTCGTTGCGGTACACAAACCCACTTCACACATGCGTGGCCAAACGTGTGGGGGGTCGACCGACTCATTGGGTCCGTCTCCGTCGTTCTCACCTAATGCCTTGCCGGCCGTGCCACCTCCAGGTGCATCAGGACTGACGGGCTCACGCCCGACCACCCCTCCTGGGGATACCGACGGTCGCGCGGCATCGGATGAGGACTCACTCCGGGACGGACAATTGCCACCTGACGGTCCGCCACCCGGGGTTACCCCGTGTGAGGGGCCCGCGGCAAGGACGCGCGCAAAAATGCGCAGACTGTTATGAGGCCGGAAGATGTGTACATAGGTTGTGTTCATCGTGTGTTGTGTGGGTGGTGTGTTCCCTGCCCATTGAATGTACATATGTTTGGTTCATTGTGTGTTGTGTGGGTGGTGTGTTCCCTGCCCATTGAAATGTACATACGTTGGGTTCACCTGGTGTTGTGTGTATGGTGGGTTCCCTGCAAATTGTATATAGGTTGTTTTTTTTACGGAATTCGTATTTATTCAAGGGGGGGTGCGTCGGGTTGTTTTCTCTTCTTGCTGTTGCATTTTGTTGTGTTCTTGTTGCTGTTCTTGTTATTGTTGAAAAATAGTGAGGCACACGCGCGGTCAAGGTGTAAATGCACTTTTATTGTCATTTTTGTATGTTGGCAGCCGGGACGGCTGCAAGCTATGCGGGGGGGGGGGGGGGGTGATGTAGGGGTGTTAAAGAGAGGGCCCGTTATGCATGGCAGCCTATGGAAAACAAACACAGTGGGCGGGGCTACGTAAGTACACGAGGAGGTGCCCTCTACGACGTCCGAGCCAGACACCCTGGGGGGGGCTGGTTCGAACGTTATGATCCCCCGGGGCCCCACCCCTCAGGGAGGGGTTGGGTATAAAAGGGGATGTTCAAAGGGCTCGAGTCAGTTATGTTTAAGCTAAGGGAAGAAGACTGAAGACGTATTAGATAGAGCCCTGGACTCCCCTAGTTCGATGTCCTTTTCAGGGCCGGACAGGACTGAGCCAGCGGCGTGGTCCCGAAAGCCAGAGCCGGTGCTCTTGTAAGAGCTGGTCTGGAACTCCGGGTATCGGGCCCGACTTACCAGTGTCGGGCCAGTTAGCCTCCCCTAGCCCATTAGTGGAGGATTCGGGGCTAGGACAGAGTTAGCTAGGGGTGTATCCCGAGTTATACGGGTGAGGGGGCCGATACCCCCTCGAGTGTGTATATGCCCACTGTCGTATTGTGAAATAAATATACGTGTGCCTCAACCTCGGCGTCAAGCGTCTTCACCGGTACTTCAAGTCTATGGGCAGTGTTGAGTCTATGGGCAGTGCTGAGTCTATGGTGCAGTGTTGAGTCTATGGTGCAGTGTTGAGTCTATGGGCAGTGTTGAGTCTATGGTACAGTGTTGAGTCTATGGTGCAGTGTTGCGTCTATGGTGCAGTGTTGAGTCTATGGTGCAGTGTTGAGTCTATGGGGCAGTGCTGAGTCTATGGTGCAGTGCTGAGTCTGGGCAGTGTGAGTCTATGGTGCAGTGTTGAGTCTATGGTGCGGTGCTGAGTCTATGGGTAGTGTTGTTTTTTCTCACACCAGATAACCCTCAAAACTCCGTTTGCTACAGGACCATCCAGACTTTGTGTGCCCTTTTATTGCTGTGCAAACGTTTGTCAGAAGTGACAGACTGAACTGTTTAACTTTTTAACACGTAGGCTTTGGCGACCAATATCATCCATAATAGAGGTTGTTCTGTTTACGTGACAACCCTTACTAGTTGGCTGTGTCGGGTGGTGGCGGATTTAACATTAATATATTTACGCGATCTAACCCCACAAAACCTGTAATGGATGAATTGTTTAAACCAAGGTTTCAAGTCACTAAAAGATGTCCGTTTTTAATGACACTTGCCGCCCAACTTTTTCTTCCCGTATTCAGGAGCTATCGAGAGTGACAACAGGAGTCGTGCCATTTCCCATCGCCGGTGTTTAAACTACCCGTCTCTTTCACGCCGGAAAGGAGGAGAAGGCTCGACGTTTCTCGAGTGATCTTCCACAAGAGAGCCCGGGCCAACTTGTCCGTTGCAAAAGCATTCGCACGACGACTTCTTCTCCCCAAAATTGCCCCGTATCCTTTCCGCTCGGTCGATGTCGCGCGTCATAGAGACACGGGCCTTTCGCAGGGCGTCGGCAGCGAGACGCCCCGCTCCCCCGGTGTCCCGCTCGGACCGGATCCCACCGCCGCCGTCGGCCTCGGAGATGCACGCCGAAGCGGCCAGGCTGCTGTCCTTCTCCGAGGGGTGGCCCGAGTCGTCCCCCGTGCGGTCCGCGGACTTGGCGCGGGCCGGACTCTACCGCGTGGGTCCCGACGACCTGGTGGCCTGTTTCCGCTGCGGCGGGATGATGCATCGCTGGAAGGCGGGAGACGACCCCGTCCGGGAGCACGCCAGGCACTTCCCCGCCTGTGCTCTCAAGGTGGGTGACGCCAGAGAGGGCGCCGGTGACGTTCTGACATCGCTCGTTTGGGGCGATGCGGGTCCTTCCTAATGTGCCTCTGGGCTCTGGGTACCGACTGGAGATGATTCCAGGCATGTTTCGACATCGATGGCGAACAAGTGGAGACTCCATTGGAACCTCATTTGCCAGTAAAAATATGATAATTGTTTTTTTACCCTTCTATCTGGCAACAAAACTAACATCTTTTTTACAAGGAGTCATGTTTGCATTGACCACAATACCTGCAGTCATAATGCAAACAAAAAACATAACTCTGATAATGTATGCACTGTCCTTGAAGTTGATTGGTCCACACCCGAGACAGCTTTCCTTAGAGCCTAGTCTCACATGGGTTGGACCAGATGACGCCAAAAGGCGCACAACTCAACTTCAAGGACAGTGCACATTATCAGAGTTGTGTTTTTTGTTTGCATTATGACTGCAGGTATTGTGGTCTATGTAAACATGACTCCTCGTAAAAAAGGTGTCAGTTTTGTTGCCAGATAGAAGGGTAAATAAACAATTATCAAGTGGAGACTCTTTGACTTTTTGAATCTATTGAGATACATTCGTGGTCGTATTTTTTTCAATTAAAAACGAAATGTTGTTAATCATTCAGGGGTAAAAATAATGTGGTTTTATTACCAATATGCTTATTGTAAATATAGTAGTGTATAGTGGAGTAGTGTATAGTGTATAATACTAGTACAGCACGCAGCGGTGTGTTGGAGAGCCAAGCCACAACATTTAGAATCTGAGTACGACGTTTGACCAGTAATTACAACAACGATCTTCATCAGGCGACAGCCAGATTAAATGTACTCTATAACTATATAGAACTATAATCTGGGTTTTTGGCATAGAGATCCAGGGAAAATGGTAACTTGATAAAGATATTTAAGGATGCTCCACGATTTTGAGCCGTCTGCAGCTGCCCTGCCCCCGTCATTAGCGCGGATTGGTTTGGTTTGCCGAAATGCCAATTGCAAATTGAGCACAGAGTAACGGTGCAAAAAGTTGCAATTGTTTTGAACGCGATCGGTCGTCGCTCGCGTATTTTATCCATTTTGTCGGCTCTGTGTGACACCGGCGATGATTCTTACTGACGAGATGTTCATTTTATTTCTCGTTTTGAGGCTCAACTACCGGGACAGACGCCGCAGAGTACAACTGCGGAGATTGAGCACGGTAAGGCGACGGATCCCTGCGCACTTTATCAGACCCTCACCTGATACAGGTGAGGGTCTGATACAGGTGAGAGTCTGAACCAGGTGAGGGTCACGACCTCATGTATACGAGGCGAGGTGGTTAACATCTCATAGCCACGGTGATGACGAGGGAGACGCAGGCTCTAGATATACTTCAACAGGCGTCGCATCAGGGTCACGATTGAACCCACGACCAGACGAGGTGGTCAGCATCTCGCCACCTTTGCGCCCCATATGTAAGCAGTCTGATGATCATTTTTGAAACCGCTGAAAGTGTGTGTGTCTGTGTGTGTGTGCTTGCGTCTGTGCGTGCGTGTGTGTCTCTGTGTCTCTGTGTGTGTGCGTGTGTGTCTGTTTGTGTGTGCTTGCGTCTGTGCGTGCGTGTGTGTCTCTGTGTCTCTGTGTGTGTGCGTGCGTGTCTGTGTGTGTGTGCTTGCGTCTGTGCGTGCGTGTGTGTCTCTGTGTCTCTGTGTGTGTGCGTGTGTGTCTGTGTGTGTGTGTCTCTGTGTGTGTGCGTGTGTGTCTGTGCGCGCACTTTGTCCACAGCATCGCCATCGGTCGAGGAGCTTCTGGACAAGCTGGAAGAGCGGCTGTCCTGCAAAGTGTGCATGGAGCACGAGGTGTCCATCATCTTCACGCCGTGCAGACACGTGGTGACGTGCGGCCACTGCGCCCTCTCCCTGAGCGAGTGTCCCGTGTGCCGCGTGGCCGTGAGAAGGGCGCTCCGGGCCATCATGGCTTAGGCGGACGGCCGTGGGAAGGAAGAGAGAGAAACGACCGCCCGGGATTCCGACCGTTGGGGCCAGTTAGTTGATTAACCCCTCCTCCCTCTCCCGTTGCGAGACATAGGCCGGTCGCTGGCAAGCGGTGAGAGGCACGGGGAGGGCAATTTAACTCGGCCACCGCCCTCCACCCATAGATCAGCTTATTTTTTGGTTTCCGGAATGTGAAAGGGTTCATTGATAACGATCAGAGTGTGGTGATTTGAAGGCGTACGATGTCAGACTTTGAAAGTGAAGAAGTGAAGTTTAAGGCTGTTCTTTAATTTGTACTTTAACCAGGATGGTACGCAAAGTTTATTTGTTAACAATTTATACATTTGTGAGTTATTACATTTACAACTCTGTGGGACACAGTGCAATGGGTGGAAGGGTCAAAGATTGCGGTGATTTTAAGGCGAATATACATTTGTGAGTTATTACATGTACAACTCTGTGGGACACAATGCAATGGGTTTAAGGGTCAAAGATTGCGGTGATTTTAAGGCAAATATACATTTGTGAGTTATTACACTTACAACTCTGTGGGACACAATGCAATGGGTGGAAGGGTCAAAGATTGCGGTGATTTTAAGGCGAATATACATTTGTGAGTTATTACACTTACAACTCTGTGGGACACAATGCAATGGTGGCATGGGAAAGCGTTAACACGAGTGCGGTGATTTGAAGGCGTTTGATGCCAGACTTGAAGTGAAGAAGTTATGTTAAAGACTGTTCTGTAACCTTTATTTGAATTGGAATGTTACGCAAAGTTTCCGTGTGTAAAACAATTTTACATTTGTGAGTTATTACATTTATAAGTGCCGGTAGCCTTCACAGCTGCTGCTACTCGCTACACGGCGGTGGATGGGTGATTTTTGGGCTGTGTGTGGACCGCTTTGTGCTTTTGTTTCTAAAAAGTGGCGGGTTTTTTTCCCTCTCTGTCGCGTGAGAAATAATTTTAGGGGATTCTAGATTTGAAGCTTTCGTGACTGCAAGGATTCATACTCTTATTTTTTTCGGTAAAGTCACTTAGGTAAAAAATGACATTTTAATTAATAAAAATAAAAGAATAAAAATCCCGACGTTTCGGAGGCAACACAAGCTTCTGACTTCAGGTGAAACTGTCAGCAAAATATATATGAGAACATAGTAACATTGTGTGTCTGTGTGTCTCTCTCTGTGTGTCTGTGTTGTGTCTCTCTCTGTGTCTGTGTTGTGTGTCTATCTGCTTGTGTGTCTGTGTGTTTTGTCTCTCAAATTTAGCAATCTTTGGAAGAACGTAATCAACCAGGTGGGGTGTTGATTGTTTTGCTGGCTGACTCTCTGTGTTGTATTGCAACACGTTCCTTCGGAGTAGGCAGGTAGGAACTTGGTTGGACAGCGCATTCGTGCACAACAGACAGACAAATAATCCCTGGTGGGCAAGTGTGCAACCTGTTGTTCCTACCTATGTACAAGATCACGTGGCTTGAGGTAGCCAGGTAGCCAGCCCCCTTAACTATTGGCCCCTCCCCCTTGCTTAAGCACCTCCCCTGACCCCCCCCCCCCCATATCCTTAGGCCCCTCCTCTGATCCCCCCCACAGGCCCCTCTCCTGACTCCCTCCTCCCTTAGGCCCCTCCCCTCTCCGTACCCGGCAGTAGGTCTCCACCAATCAAAGAGCTGTGTGTATTATATATTTATTTATGCACGACAGACAGACAGATAGACAGCTAAATAATCCCTGGTGGGCAGTGTGGAACATTGTTCCTTCCTGTATTATATTTCCAAGTTTACTATGTTCTAATTCATTTGTATCTGATGATGGTTGCTTGTGTTGCAATTGAAACGTCGTATTCTATTATTATTTAATTTCTTTACCAAAAGAACCAAAGAGCCATTCCGAATTGTCTGGGAATCCAAGCCAAGCAAGTTTATTATCACAGTGACCACACGAGACATTGAACAAACGCTGCATGTGTAGTGGGTTCAAGGAGAGTGGAGACGGCGTGTGAAGGCAACACGTAACGGCAATAGTAACGGCCCCTAACACAAAGGGGTAACGGCCCCTTAAACCGCTACCTGGGGGGGTACGACCCCTGGACTAGCATGGCCTATCACTGGCGCCACGGGCTCTCTCTCGCCTCCGGCTAACGGCCACCTAGGGGAGGCTACACTGACCCGACCCAGCCAAGGTGCGGGTCTCGACCACTGGCCCTCTCCCTTACAAGGACGTCGCGATCTGGGGGTTCCCAAGGTCTCACCACTGGCCCACTCGGTCCCGGCCCTTAGAAGGGCAGCGGGTCCCGGGGGAATTGATAGACAAGTGGAAATCAAGCAACCTAACGAGCTATTTTAATTAATGTTATTAAATAATACAACAAAATTAATGACAAAAGTAATTTAGATTAAACATGTATGAGAACATTGTAACGTCAACCGTATCTTCAAGCAACGTGTGTTACTAATTCCTCATTCATTAGCCCCATTAGTCAATGGCGACTTCACGCTCATAATAATTCCATCAAACCCGCAGCTTTAACTAACAAAATACACCTGAATAGAATTAAGGAAGGCCTATTTTCACCAACCACTAAATATATTAATCTTACATGATTCTAACCCGCCAATCACAAACCAATGAACCAACAACTCTAATGATCTCCTGACGATATCATCAGGCCCCGGAGCTAAAAGCTATTGGGTTTTGAGTGTAACCTGGTCGATTAGGATAATGATTCAACTGACGAGGCTAAGAGAATCGCAGCGAAGGAAGAGAGATCACGCAATGGCTGCGCGGAAGACTCGGCACGCCATTGACCTTGACGGACGACTCTCTGGGATGGAGGGGGGGCTGTCTCTCCGTTCCCCGGCATGCACGTGGCTTGCTTGTCCAGAACCAGGCAGCCATTGAAAGGGAACGGCGGAGGCAGCGAATTGAGATGGGAGAACTCGACTTAAAGTTTCTGACTGGAGGAATTCACATTCTTTGGGTCCTTCAAATCTAGAATCTTTCGGTAAAAGTCACGTAGATCGGTAAGAAAGAAGACAAAAAACGACGACGTTTCGATCGCAACACAAGCGATCATCATCTGGCGTTGCGATCAAAACGTCGTAGTTTTTCTAACCTATCTACGTGACTTTACCAAAAGACCCAAAGAATATGGGAGAGCTCTTGACGGCCAAATCACGTGACCGAGTAGCGCTACACTTGAAGGCTTTGACGAGAGTTGTCGTCACCCTTCTGGTGTGCGGATTTCAGGTTTCCGGCTGTTGGACGTCCCCGCTGTGGAGCAGAGGTCGCAAACGGGTTTTAATTCCTTACCCGTACCCGGCCGCAACAGGGTCGCAAATGGGTACCCGTACCCGGCCGGGTACGGGTAGCCAGGTATCGGGTAGGTAGGGTATCAGGTAGGGTATAGGGTACGGGTATCGGGTAGGGTACGGGTATCGGGTACCCGGTTGCGACCTCTGCTGTGGAGCATCATAAACTCATTGGGAGCGCTTGCTGTGGAAGGCTGAGTTTCTGACTGTGCTGCAGCTCAAGTCTACTGTGTGTGTGTGTCACGTTTGAATAAAATCTTGAGATTTGAAATAAGGGGCCGTCCATAAATGACGTCACGCACCTAGGGGTGTAGGGGGGGTGTCAGACATTTGTGAAGATGTGTGACGAAGGGGGGGAGGTGAGAAATGTGACGTCACGTCAAAATGTGCAACATTAATTAAATATAGACAACACGTTCTACTTAATTAAATAGACTTTTTAATAAATGTTTCTCCTACAGCATCAGAATGCAGCGCCGCATTAAATACGCACTACAATGACAATAGTTGAAAGCGATTTGAAGCGTGTTTTATTTTTGTGATATCATATTTGAAGGGAGGTCTGACTTTTTGTGACGCCGTGTGACGAGGGGGGGGGGGGGGGTAAAAAATCGTCCAAAACCGCGTGACGTCATTTATGGCCCCTAATGTAAGGCGATTGCTGGACACATTATACTTTGCTTTTGAACGTTATAGTTTGCTGAAAAAAACTAATGTATTGGCATATTTTTCGATGCGACCACCAGCCGGGCACAGCAGTCAACTTCAGAAAACTGAAGTGTGTTCGCCTTTTGGCGTCCTCTGGTCTAGCACCGTTTGAGACGAGGCTCAAAAGAAAGCCGTCTCTGGTGTGGACCAATCAGTTTCAAGGACAATGCACACTCCGTCAGAGCACGTGTTTTTTTGTTTGCATGTTCACAAGTGTGTGTGTGTGTGGGGAGCGGAGGTGTAGCAGTTAGCGCGCTGCGCTATGAACCTGGCGACCCGGGTTCGATTCCCGCTCACGGCTAACACCAGTGACGATTATCTGAACCGGTCCCGGGCCTCCCCTAGGTCGACTCAGCCTTACATGAGTACCTGGTGCGGTGTGTAAACATCGCCACTGGGGAGACAAAGGCGGTCGGGCGTGGTGCTGGCCACCCACCCCCTTCGTGTACCGTTCCGGCCTTCATAGGTGCTCGCTAACAGCACTTGCCCCTACAGTCTGTTAAGGCTACACGGGGGATCTTTGTCTTTGTGTGGTAAATGCAGCCATGATTCCTTGCAAAGGTTTCAGTTTGGTGTTTTAACGTCTTAAACACACAAGGGTTTTATTGTGGCCAGAAAGGGGGAAACCCCTTCGATTATCAAAGCGGAGTTTCCACGCGGTGGGATTTCAATCCACCAATTAGAAGCGAGGGAGCTGCGGGGCGACGCGTCAGCGCCGGCAGCCAATCAGGGCGCGTCTCCCGCCTGCTGTGGGCGGGGCTTCAGCGCGTGAGGAGGTCGCCTTGGTGGGAAGAGGCGCTGGGACATCGCCCAGCAACAACAACAACAACTACCACAACAACAACTACCACCACAGCAACTACTACCTTGTGAGTATTACTAGCACTCTTATCACGACTACTACTTATTACCACCACAACTCTTTTTACTACCACAACTCTTATTACCACCACAACCACCTCCACCCTGTGAGTATAACAACAACAACACTCGTTGTTGTAGTAAGATGTAGGCATTTCTCGCCGCTATGCAGCAACACCCTCAACGCCCCACGTGTTGTGTTGCAGCAAACACGCCGCGTGGACAATGGCGGACGTGGGTGGGTGTGAGAGTGTGGGTGGGTGTAAGTGTGAGTGTGTGTGAGAGTGTGTGTGTGGGTGTGAGTGTGTGAGAGTGTGTGGGTGGGTGTGAGAGTGTGGGTGGGTGTGAGAGTGTGTGAGTGTGAGAGTGTGTGAGAGTGTGGGTGGGTGTGAGAGTGTGTGTGGGTGTGAGAGTGTGTGGGTGTGTGTGAGTGTGTGGGTGGGTGGGTGTAAGTAGTGGGTGGGTGTGAGAGTGTGGGTGGGTGTGAGAGTGTGGGTGGGTGTGAGAGTGTGTGGGTGGGTGTGTGTGTCTGTGTGTGAATGTGGATGGGTTTGAGAGTGTTAGAGTGTGTGAAATGAAACTTGTTAACAATCCCCAAGTATTCTTGGTTCTCTCGGTAAAGTCGAAACGTCGCGAGATTTTTAATTGTTTAATATTTTTATCATTTTATTGTTTTCCTTCTACGCGACTTTACCGAAAGAACCAATAATATGAAAGATTTAAATCAAAATTAAAATCCCCAAGTACACAAAAGCCGACCACGAATTGTGTGAAAGTGAATGTCTCCCTAAGGCCTTGAGAGCGAGTAGGAGGAGGCCTGCCCTTGTAAAACACAAATATTTGTCTGACTTTCACTGGTCAACACACTTTGTCTGGCATAAGGTATTTCAACGGTTTTAAGGTAATTTTGGGGTGCTGATTCATCCATCAGTTTATATCATTTGCATACGCAAAGAAAAATATTAAATAATGTGGATATCTACATAAAATTATATTATAAACTCACTATCCTAAAAATACAGCACCATATTTTAACACTAAAGCAGTCACTGACTCGCAACAACTTGCAATCATAAGTGACAGAGTTAATTTCGGGTAAAATCAATGAAAATGGGGTATGCCGATAGCATAAAAATGAGATGTGATAGAGCAAATCTGAGATCAGATTTGGAATCAGCACCCTGAAATTAGTCTAAAACGGCTGCAAAAGTCCAGACGCCTGTTACTGCTGCTGTAGATTTGGAGTTTGCATCTCTCATCATCATCATCACAGTGGATAGGAGATGTTAACTACCTCACCTGGTACGCAGGAGGTCGTGGGTACGATCCCGACCCTGAAGACGCCTGTTACTGCTGCTGTAGATTTGGAGTTTGC